AATTTCTTTTAAAATGTTATTTGTATTCTCACGTACACATTTATGTTATTATATCATAAAAAATTTCAATAAAACACAACCGTTTTATTTAACCTGCTCAATTTATTAGACTCAACCAATGTCTCAAATCTCTTTTAAACTTGACATATTAGTTAGACAATGACTTATGAAAAAGATTGTACAAACTGCGCGTAGTTGGACATTATTTATCGGTCAACATCTTCTTGCTTTCTGAGCATTCAATGTCATTCAATCCCGTTTTGCAAATATTACCTGCTTGGCAACTACCCTGGAATCTAAACGTACGATCCGGCTTACGGTTTTCACTGTGATTTTCCGGGTCATATATTTCCTTCAACTTGAGATAAATAGAAACAGTTCCAACACTATTAATAATGTGAAGGTGTCAGTACTGATTTGTACCACTGAAGATATAGGCGAGGCCCAAACACATTTTGAAATTTAAATTTGTACCACGTAACTGTGTAATAAGATTAATTTGTTGATTATCGATAGTGCTCATATTTTTGTCAGATTCTTGTTTTCCTAGAAACTTGTTTATTTTCCTGAGCTATCTCAAATAGTGCGATAAGGACTACAGTGAGTGCTATTCACATGCCAGGCTGATATCAAATAAGTTCAGAAATGTAAAAGTGTGTACACACACTTAATTCGTAGAATTACAAACATTTATATCTGCGCAGTTCTGAAAACTTAGCAAGCAATATTTTCTAAATCACTTTTAAAATATCTTCAGATTTTAATCTGAGACAATAGAATCTCTTTCCCAAACTGCATCTAACAACTTGGTATTCCTAATAACGTGATGCTTGTAGCAAATCAAATGCACGTTGGGTTCATCGAACTCAGTAGCGTACCGAATTAGCATTAACTTAAGTCGTCGGTGAATAATCACTTTCTCTTCTAAGAATCGTGCCACACACCTACAACAGACGTGTCGTAATTCTCCCTTCTAACCGAATCGAGGAATTCCTTTTTCTTATTTGTGAAAAACTAAAAGCAACTATCCAGCATTAAATAGTTAGATTGCAAAAACGTTTAATATTATAACAAAATTCTGAAGCAACTGCGATGTGTAGACGGATTTTTATACAGAATAAATGTAGTGTCTGTTAAAGACAGACAAAATATTATTATTGAAATATTACTGTGCACTTATCTTTTGATATTTTTTATATCTGCATAAATGGTAAGTGTCTTTTACATTTGCAATCTTTTTATAAATGCATAAAATAATGCATTATAAGTGCATTATAAGTATTGTGCACTTATAAAATGAATCAGTACTTTCCCGTCAGAGGAAACTTTCTCACTTCCTAATAATTTGCAGTTATTTTTTTGCAGCATGGGGCACATTAAATGGAAATTTGTTCAATCCTCAAGCAAAAAAATAACGTCGACTTTAATTTACGACTTGGAAAGCGTGGCCTTTTCCACTACATTTCGCATCGCGGCGTGTCAATATTTCCTCTTTACGCACGAAACGTGTCACCACGTGTTTCAACTCGTGGCAAGTAACCGAAGGAAATTTTAGCATAAAACCATTAGCTCCGTCAGAGAATTTACATGCAACGTTCAAGTAATTTCTTTGTTGGAGTAATGAGACTTCACCTTTGCACACATAGATTAAAGCATCATTTTCTTAATATAAAATTCTAGATAGAATGTAAGTTTAAATTCTGTTGTAAATCATGGATTACTTTTTTGTGCAAGGCGAAATATTCGACAATAATAGAAATAGAAACTTATCAATTACTGCTTATTGTGTTATAAGACACCTGACGAATTAATGCAAAGAAATCAATAAAAAAGACCAGGATATAGTAGCAGAGAGCAGAAAGTGTGATAGAATAAGTAGGGTATTAAGGAAAAATATAGGAAAAATACAACGTGTGGAGAGGCAAAGATAGAGTCATGACAACGTAGAATGGGAGAACTTGAAGTAGGGTAGACTAAGTAAATTTGATATTAGAGAATATAAATAGTAGGATGTTTTGTGAAAGACAGAAAATTCGATAAAAATATAATTAAAATCTTATCAATTACTACTTATTGTGTGATAAGACACCTAATGAATGCAAAGGAATGATTAGAAAAGTACTAGGAGATCAGAATATAGTGGCAATGGTACAAAGGAATGATGTACGTGTGAGAGATAAAAAAGAGAAATATTCAGTTAAGGAAATTACATAAAATCGAGTCCATATTTTAAAAAAAGACTGAAATAACGAATTTAACTGTCTACGTTTTATTTTAAAAAATCTAGTTACTACATACAATAAATGTTCCAATTTCTGTTCATATCACTATTTCTACTCACTGGCTTGTGATTGCATATACAATTATAAAAAAAATAAGC